ATTCAACCCCTAATTCCTGCTTCCCTATTTTAGCGCGATGGTTGGTATCGCTGCCACCAGTCTCGAGCGTATTAACGCTCTCGACAAATTAAAAGACGAAAGACAAAATTGATAAGATATTAAAAGATTATAATTATTAGCCTTTCGTTGGGTTCGTTCAGCGCTTGGTCCCGTACGGGACCCTCCTTGAATCTGGGTATGTTGGTAGGCGTGTTTTAACTGAAACGTGTGAGGTGTGTTCGAAATAAAAGGAAACTGTTTAACTAAATGAAACTGGTTTAATCGTGAATGAAAATCAGATAATTGCCAAAATTATGAGTTCAATAATTTAGAAATTTGGTTAAATTGAAAATTACCAGTTCTGCAAAAATGTGAACAAATGTAAAGATGCTTAAGATTAGTTAACAAGGTATATATATATATATATGAATATAAAACACTCTGATATCACATTTGAAACCGACGAGTATATTACCGGGCGCGTAAAAATGATTATAATAATTTCGCTCTCCGAATTTAACTATACGATTGGCGGTTTCCGCCTGCGGTGCACCCCAGCCTGAGAAATTCTCGTAACTCTCGAAAGAGCTGGACTAAGGTGCCCTTCGGATGATGGAAAGAGACTGGAATTGCGAAATTGTAATAACCGAAAATAGTATTTAATATTGGATGATATCAATACCTCGTACGGTGGAACGATCTGACCTGAGGAATTCTCGTAACCTTGAAGGGCTGGACCAGATCGCCCGTTTTGCCAATTGAATAAACGTCGTGATCGAAAAATGTAACTGAAACGACTTACCGTTACGGTGTACAATAAAATACAAGGTAATTCGCTTGCTAGTTTTGGTGTAATCGCTCGATGATCTGGAACACCAAAGAAACGGTAAGATCGTCGATCACTGCACTTGTCGCGGCGAGAAACGGATTATTACGGACGAGTACGTCGACGAGAGACAAACGAATAACGATTTACGATTGATTACGATTACAACGAATATAATTACGCGGTGTGAAGTTAATACGAGAAACTACGCGAGCAAACGATTTAAAATCGGAAAGAAAAGATAGAAATTTAGGTAGAAGGAAGATTTTACGTGCGCGTCTGTGAGTCCTTATTCAGAATACCGATTATTTTAACTACCACGGCACTCTGCCTCGCTACGCTGAGGACTTTACCGCAGAGAAAATATCGCGAATTTCCGAATAACTCTGTCTCTCGGACACACGGGCTCCCGATCACGTACTTACGATTGATCGATCAAGAGTGACAAATTTCGTGCGCGATCGACGGCCGAAGGGCCCGTCGCGCGAACATCGTCCTTGGAGGGGACGGTTTGGCGAATCGTAGCCCGTTTTCGGAAGTGTCGCGTGCCCGGTGATTGGCTAAGACGCGCGAGCTAGACGAAGATCTTTCATCCCCTTTCATTGGTGTTCCTTCCTTTTCTCATTCGTCGCCATGATAGTTTCAACGGTTTTCAGAAACTACGCAGTATTTCTCGTTATACATATAATTAATTAACGGCATTTATTCGAGATGTAACTATTAGTTTAATTGGTGTGCAATTTGAGATTTGATATTGAAATATAAATTAAAATTGAAATATCGGGTTTGATAGGAAACCGTCGTTCGTATATCGTGATTGAATTATTCATCCCGATTTGCAATAAAACAGTATGATTTTATATGTTTAACAGCGGATGATGCGCTTACGGTGGTTGTAACGCCGTGGCGTATTATGCAATCTATCGCGCATTAAAACTATCGCCTCGATATATTCGGTATTTCGCATTTTATAAATTTTAAACAATTCTAGATCTGGCGAACGTTTCCTCGAGAACGTTCCTTTGTTCAAAATTTGCCGTTATCGCTAGGCAGTTCTTAGAATTCCGATACAATAGCGTTTATTGCTTCGAACGACCCTTGATTTTCGAACGGCGGTCGAACGTTCGCGACGTTCGCTTTCGTAAGGGTTCCCAATTCTTACTTTCATTGTTTAAATTTGTTTCATCCATCCTCTCTCTCATACTATTATTACAATCAGGTAGCGATGATCCTTGTTGGACCGGCTGACGCTTTGTGCAACAGAGTGAGAAAGAGGTTCCCAACAAAAGAGTTATTACGATTTTCCCGTTTCTACGCAGTTACCAAGGGAAATTCCCGAAATGCGAAGCACTGGCTAACTGCGCAGCGCTGGTGTTATTGCTACGGCTCTCTCTCTCTCTCTCTCACTCGGGCTAACCCGAGTTTTTGTGCGTATTAGCTTCTTATTACAATGGCTGGCGACGATAGTTTCAAGGAGGGTCACGTAAACTATTGAAAAGTAGAAAATAGAAACGACCTTTCCGCGTGTACCTCGCATGAGGAATTCTCGTAACCCTCGAAAGAGCTTGACGAGATACACGATTCCAGGGTAGAGCAGGTAAAGAAGAGAAAGCGATAGAGGAAGTCAAAAATAGAAAGGAATTAAACTCAAACTCTTCCCTGTACAGGGTGTAAAAAAATTAAATGTCACGACCTATATGGGGTGATTCTACACCTCTGGATCGGTGGAGATTTGTCAAAGAAAGCGACCGCAAAATTGACCTTGATCCCTAATTTCAAGGTCAAACTTTTTTATTGGCTTATCGTATAGTGCTCATCGAGGGGATAAAAAGTCTGAAAGGAACCATGTACCGGAAATCAACCCTTCTCCTAGAAAAAAGCCGTCAAAGTTTCCATATACCATAATGCATTAAACGTTGAGTCGCCCGGTACCCCTCTCCAGTGATCTTGGCGCGTCAGTCTCGCGTATCGCTCCAGTTTCATGGTATAGGACAATTCTTGAATTTCAATCACAATGCCAGCATATAGGAAGGGTAAATTCTAAGAGAGCATATTTAAAAAGACAAAATAACTACTGCGTTTAAATGAAAATAAAAATGAATTTAATCGAAACATTCGTAATATAATATAATATGATACAAGTATGATAAGTAATATAATATATAAATAACAATAATAATAAAAATATAATATAAAGTAATTATATAAAAAAATAATATATGTAACATAAGATAATAATATTAAGGTAATAATAATAATAAGTAATATAATAATAAATATAATAAGATAATAAATATTTGATGCAGTCCTTTGCGTAATAATTAACTGATGCATTAACTGCATAACTGCGATGTGTTAACGAACTGTGAAATGATAAAACTAAACATTTATCTTGCGTTTATATTCAAAGTGCAAAATTTCAGTGAATTAAATTCATTATTATTTTCTTTTACACGTAGTAGTTATTTTATCTTTTTAAATAGGCTCTCTTAGAATTTACCCTTCCTATATGCTGGCATTGTGACTGAAATTCAAGAATTGTCCTATACCGTGAAACTCGAGCGATACGCGAGACTACCGCGCCAAGATCACTGGAGAGGGGTACTGGGCGACTCAACGTTTAATGCATTATGGTATATGGAAACTTTGACGGCTTTTTTCCAGGAGAAGGGTTGATTTCCGGCACATGGTTCCTTTCAGACTTTTTATCCCCTTGATGAGCACTATACGATAAGCCAATAAAAAAGTTTGACCTTGAAATTAGGGGTCAAGGTCAATTTTGCGGTCGCTTTCTTTGACAGATCTCCACCGATCCAGAGGTGTAGAATCACCCCATATAGGTCGTGACATTTAATTTTTTTACACCCTGTACATCCCTGCATGAGAAATCCTCGTAACCTCGAAAGGCTTGACAAGAATGTACAAGGTCGAGGAGGAATGAAAAGGTTGGCGGAAAACTGAAACACCCGCCCATACGCCCCTGACATGAGAAAATCTCGTAACCCAAAAGGGCTTGATAAGGGACGCAAGGCGGATAAATTTCAAATTTTCCGCCGGGTCGTAACAAATATAATAATATAATAATATAATAATATAATAATATAATAATATAATAATATAATAATATAATAATATAATAATATAATAATATAATAATATAATAATATAATAATATAATAATATAATAATATAATAATATAATAATATAATAATATAATAATATAATAATATAATAATATAATAATATAATAATATAATAATATAATAATATAATAATATAATAATATAATAATATAATAATATAATAATATAATAATATAATAATATAATAATATGTTCGAGCGTCGAACGAGTCATCTAGAAATTTCTAGATCGCTTCCTTCGTCTCTGCTGTTCGTTCCGCCGGCCTCCAGCCATCTCACTCGCTCCGTTGGCCGACGTAGCGAGCCGACTGGGCTGCTAGACCGGCGGGCGACGACGGGGACGAGGGAACCGTAATATAAATATGCCGCCGCATACTTGCTTTTCTTATATACTCGGCTTAGCGTACAAGTTTAGCAGAAATTCGAACAATCTGCTTCGGTTAGCAAGAACTGTTAAACTTTTCTTTGGATTTCTCTTTATTCAAATACAATTCTCAGAATCAAAGATCCTCCGTGATCACTTCGCACCTTTTTTCTATACGCGGTTGCTCCATCGGAAGGTATCGCTTCGGCAAGGTCGCGCACCGGCAAAAACTTTCTGCCGAATCCGTTCTCTAACCCCTTTCCCGGTTAAGGGGCGAAACGATCAAACATTGGTCCTTCGAGCCGGATATTTGCGGTCAACGAACGTTCTTCCACGTCGCGAGTGAGTGGTGCCAGTGACGATTCCTGGGAAATTGCGGCTGGACTCCAACGCGGGAGGATTGACTCGCCGCCTCAAGACCGGACTCCACGAACAAATCAACCAGGCCTCGGAAAAGGGAGTCAAAAGGAGAAAGATAAGTCCCATTCTTTATTTAAATCATTTCTCTTGCCGTAACGGTCCTGCCGTGACGTCACCCGCTTGGGCGTTGTCTCCTGAGGTCGAGCCTGTGTTTGTAAACGCTTCGGAACGTCTTGAACTTCGAGTCAACAGTCGGTGCTTCTAACGGTTTTCGGAAACGCCCTGATCTGAAAAGGGAAGAATTACGATGCCTTCGACTGAATACGTGGATATTTTACGGGAACAGGAGGAACTCGGACGTTGGATCCAACGGTTTTGGACTAACCTTTGTAAATTGGGTAGGGAAAAAATTACGCGGGCAGTTTTGGAACAGCGTAGAGGTCTCCTTGAGCGATATTGGGATGCGTTTTTAAATGGTCACCGTCAACTGTTGCGATTCAAAGAAGCCGAGGACAGTGCTTACGTAGACCAAGACCGCTTTTCTACCATCGAAGAAGCTTATCTTCAGGTCGCGGCTCAGATGGCGCAGTACCAAGAGGACCTCGCGAATGCGGGTCCCTCGCGTGGAGTACAAGCGCCTCCAGACCCGCCGGCAAAGCCGCAATTGCCAAAGATACAATTACCTACCTTCTCGGGAGACCCCCTGCAGTGGGAGAGTTTCCGAGATCTTTTCCGGAGCCTCGTTCACAGCGTTCCCAATCTTCCAGATGTACAGAAATTGCTGTACCTGAAGACGGCCTTGACCGGGGAAGCGGCGGAGGTCATCCAAAATACGCCAATCACCGATGCTGGATATCAAGGAGCCTGGGAGGATCTGGAGCAGCGGTACGGGAATTTGCGTCTTCTGTCTTTCTCGCACCACCGGGCTCTTCTCTCCTGCCCTCCCGCGCAACAGCAGTCTGCCGCGGAATTGAAAAGGCTGTTAGATACATTCAGACAATCGATCAGGGCGTACACGGCGCTAAACAAACCGGTACCTCAATGGGATGAGTGGTTTGTTTATTTCTTAAACCAAAAATTGGACAAAACCACCCACCTGGCCTGGGAAACCTCTCTTGCTGATAGTCGTGACATCCCGTCGTTCCGACAGCTTTCTCTTTTCCTAGAAAATCGCATCCAAGCGCTGGATGCTGCTCAGGCGGCCGACCCCGTGTTGCATCCCGCAACAACCAAAGGTGCCCTGGCTAAAACAAAAAAGGAGGCGTCTGTAAAACGGTCTAATGTCGCAGTCTTAGCCGCATCGGCTAAGAGTCCCGCCCCCCGTAAGTGCCCCTCGTGCGCAGGAAATCATAACTTTGCTTATTGTTCTAAGCTAAAGGCGCTCCCACCACGGCGCCGGAAGGAGCGAGCGCAACAACTACAGGCGTGTTTTAACTGCTTGACTGTTGGCCACGACTCGAACAAGTGCCCATCCAGCCAAGTCTGCTTAGCGTGCGGCAACAAGCACCACACGCTCCTCCATGATGCGATGGCGAGTCCCGCGAAGAGTGCACCCACGGCCAAAGAAGACGCTCCAACATCTCCACCGCCAGCGGTTTTTTCCGACATCGAAGAAAAAAACGTAGCTGCCTCCTTCGCCTGTTCAGCTACCACTCGACCCGCCGCGCTCTTAGCAACGGCCAAGGTGAGGGTGGAGGCACCATCAGGGGAACACCTAGAGGTCAGAGCCCTGCTAGACACCGGTTCGGACACGTCGCTGGTATCGGGTTGGGTAGCTCAAGCACTCCGTTTGCCACGGCGGGCGGTTAGCGTCGCCATCTCAGGAGTACAGGAGAATGAGAGTGGACTGGCGAAAAGCGAAGTTTCCTTTTCTTTGCGCTCTCGTCTGGACCCCAGCTTTCACTTGTCGGTTCGTGCGTTGGTGCTGCGGAAACTGACGGCGTTGCTCCCAGCTCGAGCAGTGCAACCACAGTCTTGGCCGCACCTTCAAGGAGTGATTCTCGCCGATCCTGAATATGGAGTACCCTCTCGTGTTGACTTGATCCTAGGAGCTGATATTTGTGGAGTTTTGTTACAGGACGAGTCGAGGGTTGGACCGATTGGTACCCCAACGGCGCGGCGTACGCCTCTTGGGTGGGTACTGATGGGCCCTGTCTCTGATGCCAAAGGACCTAGCAGCAAGGCAGTCGTCCACAGCCTTCATTGCCAAACGGACGACTCAACGAATAGGCTGCTTCGGCGCTTTTGGGAGCTCGAAGAGCTACACGAACAGCCCCCGTTATCACCCGAGGACCGAGAATGTGAGCGGCACTTTCGAGAGACGCACTATCGGGACGAAACAGGCCGCTACTCGGTGCACCTACCTTTCAAATTGGATCCAAGCCTCGCCCTGAAGCCCAGCAGATCGACGGCGCTAAAGCTGCTGCTCAGCTGTGAGCGCAAGTTGGCGTCCAACGAAGCCTGGCGAGACAAGTACTCGCAGTTCATGGACGAGTACGCGGCCTTGAGTCACATGGAGGCGGTACCGGAATCTGCGGTTCAGGATCCAGCCTACTATCTACCGCACCATGCTGTGGCGAAGCGATACGACCCTACTGGCAAAATCAGGGTCGTCTTCAATGCCTCCTTTCGCACCGCCACGGGATCCTCTCTCAACGACTGCCTGCTGCCTGGACCGAAACTACAGTCAGACCTCTGGATGATTTTAACACGATGGCGCCTTTTTCGAGTAGTATTTACCTCGGATATTGTTAAAATGTTTCGGCAGATTCGAGTAGACCCGGCGGACGCGGACTGGACCAGGATACTTTGGCGCTCCAGACCCGATCAACCTGTACAAGACTTCAGGCTCAAGACCGTCACCTATGGCACAGCCTGCGCGCCCTTCCTTGCGCTGCGGGTGTTGGTCCAACTAGCGGCAGACGAAGAGGAGCGTTTTCCGCTGGGAGCGGTCGCAATTCGTCGGCATTCGTATGTGGATGATATCCTTGCCGGAGCCGACGACGAGGAAGCAGCTCTGGAATTACGACGACAGGTCATCTCCATCCTGCAATCGGGAGGCTTCGATCTGAGTAAATGGGCATCGAATAAGCCGAGCTTACAGGAAGCGGAAGAAAGTCAAGCCTGCGTGTTCCAGGACCACACTGGAGTCAGTACCTTGGGAGTCGTCTGGAGGCCAACCACGGACACCTTCTCCTTGCGTGTCCTTCCACCCCTCAAAGAGCCCTCCCGATACACAAAAAGGCGTATCCTCTCGGAAGTAGCCAGTCTCTTCGACCCCTTGGGATGGGCGGCCCCTGTTTTAATTTTCGCAAAGATTCTCATGCAGGACCTCTGGATAATTGGCGCAGAGTGGGATGAGGACTTACCTGACCAACTGCTTTCCGCATGGAAAACCTTCCGGACGACGCTGAGCCAACTCGACGCTTTGGCCATTCCTCGCTGGACGAACTACTCAGCAGACTCGGCGCAACTGGATCTGCACGGGTTCTGCGATGCCTCCCAGCGAGCTTATGCAGCCGTCGTCTACCTGCGAGTGTCCAAGGGAGAAGTCAGCGTGACCACACTGCTTGTGGCAAAAACCAAGGTCGCTCCGGTCAAAGCCGTTAGCATACCACGCCTGGAATTATGCGGCGCGGTGCTTCTTTCCAAATTAATTGCGGAAGTACAAAGGGGATTGAACGTACCAGCAACCATCACGGCTTGGACGGACTCTAGCGTTACCCTCCACTGGATCCGGGGGCATGCCTCGACCTGGAAGCCGTTTGTTGCTCACAGAGTAGCCACTGTGCAGTCCAATGTTCCGCCTCAAAATTGGAGACACGTGGCTACCAAACACAACCCTGCGGACTTGGCAACAAGAGGGATAACGCCGTCGGAGCTCCTATCGTCGCAGCTTTGGTGGAGGGGACCCTCCTGGCTCATCAACCCCCCCGATCAGTGGCCTGCATCACCACTAGGAAAAGGTCGAGGAGGTCGACTTGGAGCAGGGCCGAGTACAAATCTACCTAGCAAAGGAAAACGAGGAGAACGATCTCTTAACAAGGTTTTCAAGCTTGACACGCCTAACTGCCGTTATTGCTCTCTGCTTTAGATTTCATCGACTTACAAGGAAGCTGAAGACCGAAACCGGGTTCATCCGGGCTTCGGAGCGAGACGCTGCTCTGCGGATTGCTATCGGCCTAGCTCAGAAGTCCAACTTCCACGCAGAGGTCGACCAGCTCCGGCAGCACAAAGAGGTACGGCGATCGTCGACCCTCATCGCCTTGAGGCCCTTCCTGGATGACCAAGGGCTGCTACGCGTCGGAGGCCGCCTGGACCAAGCCTCCCTTCCCTATAATGAGAGGCACCCTTACATCATCGGGAAGAAGAATCCGTTGGCTACTCTTTTGGTGCGAGATGCCCATCTCCGTACTTTACACGGAGGACCACAACTCACCAGGAGCCTGCTGGCGCGACGCTACTGGATCATCCATGGCCGCTCTCTAGTGCGAGACGTCATTAAGGGGTGCGTAAAATGTGCTCGCTACAGTGGAAGGCCGACCACGCAGTTGATGGGCCCCTTACCGATCGAGCGCATCACTCCCCGCCGACCCTTCCTTTCTACGGGAGTGGACTACGCAGGACCGGTGAAGCTGCGAACATCACCAGGAAGAGGACACAAATCCTACAAGGGATATATAGCGCTGTTCATTTGCCTTAGTACTCGCGCGATTCATCTGGAAGCTGTCTCAGATCTTACCTCTGCCTCATTCCTAGCCGCTTTTCGCAGGTTCATCAGTCGCCGAGGCCGCTGCGCCACGATGTTGAGCGATAATGGGACCGTCTTCCACGGAGCGGACCGGGAGTTGCGCAACATGTTCCGCGGCGCTTCCGCCTTCTACCTAAACGCCGCAGCTTCGCTGGCAGCCGAAGGCACGGATTGGAGCTTCATCCCTCCGTATGCTCCGCACTTCGGGGGCCTATGGGAGGCAGGAGTTAGAACGGTTAAACATCATTTGCGAAGAATCGTCGAAAACGCCACGCTTACCTTCGAGGAGATGACGACGCTTCTGTGCCAGGTGGAAGCTTGCGTAAATTCACGGCCGCTACATCCACTTTCCGACGACCCCTCGGACCTGTCGGCATTAACACCCGGACACTTTTTAATCGGTGAACCCACTTGTATCGTTCCGGATCCAGAATCCGACTCGCATGATATTTCTCTTATTTCGCGCTGGCGACAAATATCTGCATTACGTTCTCACTTTTGGCACAGGTGGAGGCGGGAATATCTGCAGCATTTGCAGCAACTTCCCAAGTGGCGTCAGCAGAAGGAGAACCTGAAGCTGGGGACACTAGTGTTACTACGCGACGAGTTGCAACCACCGGCAAAATGGCCGATGGGCCGGGTTGAAGCCCTTCATCCAGGGCCAGATGGACGAGTAAGAGTAGCCACCTTGAAAACTACTAGCGGTTCCGTCACCAGACCAATCGTCAAGTTGTGCCCCCTCCCGGTGCCCTCTGCTGACGTCACTTCACCTACTTCCACGTAAATTTTCCGTTTCGCGCGTGGAGAAAAAATTTATATAGTCATGGCGGGCGGTTTGACGCCGTAATCGATTTAATCACCTATATATGTTCTTTAGTATAATTACTTACCTTTGTATTACGTTAGTTGTAAGTCTTTTAATCTTTATGCACCTAGCACTGTGTTCAACGGTTTGATGCACGTAACTTTACTGTTCACATTAAGGTTAGCTTTATGAATGGATTTGTTTGATGCATGAGTGCTTCTTGCTTTCTGCTTCTTTGCCGTCCAAAGAAGGCGGGCGGTATGTTCGAGCGTCGAACGAGTCATCTAGAAATTTCTAGATCGCTTCCTTCGTCTCTGCTGTTCGTTCCGCCGGCCTCCAGCCATCTCACTCGCTCCGTTGGCCGACGTAGCGAGCCGACTGGGCTGCTAGACCGGCGGGCGACGACGGGGACGAGGGAACCATAATATAAATATGCCGCCGCATACTTGCTTTTCTTATATACTCGGCTTAGCGTACAAGTTTAGCAGAAATTCGAACAATCTGCTTCGGTTAGCAAGAACTGTTAAACTTTTCTTTGGATTTCTCTTTATTCAAATACAATTCTCAGAATCAAAGATCCTCCGTGATCACTTCGCACCTTTTTTCTATACGCGGTTGCTCCATCGGAAGGTATCGCTTCGGCAAGGTCGCGCACCGGCAAAAACTTTCTGCCGAATCCGTTCTCTAACCCCTTTCCCGGTTAAGGGGCGAAACGATCAAACAAATAATATAATATAATAATAATAATATAAAAATATAATAAATTATATATATAACCGCTATCGATGTAATTTAGTTTCGCCACACCCTTTCCCATACTTCCTTTAATAAGTTATAAAATATCGGTGAGAAAATAAATATATAGTAATGATAAAATAAAAGAATTTTTTTGTCACACCCTTCCCCATACTTATTTTAATAATATAGTAAAGTTATAAAGATAAAATAAAAGTATATAATCATTATCAATGTAATTTATTTTGCCACACCCATCCCCGTACTTGTAACAATATAATAAAATAAATAATATGACAAAGTTATATAATCGTTATTACTGTAATTTATTCTTTGCCTCACTCTTCCCCCTACTTCATTAATGTAATATGAAAATAAAATTGTAAAATCGTTAATGCGATATTAAAATTATTCTTTGCAATGTTCAAGTTCTTGCGAACCTTGCAATTTCATGTGAGAGAGAAAGAGGCGCCCGATTCGGAGTTCTTGCAAATTTGCAGTTTCGCGAGATGCTGAAAGTCTAGTGTTTGGATGTATTAGGATTGGAGGGGGTATTTTCTCGGTGCTTTATAAACCGATGAGTTTTCATTATCCACTATTCATTTCGTTATCCGCTGCTCGTTTCGCGTTATTCAGTCTACGATGGCCACCGTTCCGCGACTTGAACTACTTGCCTTTAAGGCACTTATTGAGCAGTACTGTAAGTAGTCTTTAACGATTACTTGTCTTGGTGTGTTAATTTTATTTTTAACTAGTTGTTTGTTAAAAGCTGAAAGGTTAGGATTAGTGCCAATAAAAAGATTCATCGAAGTGCGCCGGAAGCGAGCAGACCATCGGTTCAGCCAGATGTTAATGTGGGCCGAAGGTTGGAATCCGAATCATGAAGGCTTATTCGATTTGAGGGCTCTGTTTGATGAGGAAATAGATGAGGGCCCTATTTGGGGAGATATTGATGTGTATCACCATGTCTACCATACGCGGAAAATTTAAGTGGTCAATAAATGCAATCCGATGCCAGTTGGAGGAGATGCTGATGTGAGTTGCCCGTCCGTTTATGTCTTTAATTTATTAGATTTTACCTAATGCGAGTTTTATTTTGTCTGTTATAGCCTCCACCCCCCAGCGAATTGTATATAATGTATTATTGTATTGTATTATGTATTATGTATTAAAAAGTATTCAAAATTATCAATATAATTTATTCTTAGACCAACCTCCATTCATTTATAAAATAACATTCCCCTGTAATAAAAGTAAACACAGAATAAAGCCGAAAAATTATTTATTCACATAATCTGCATAATTACAAACATTTTTAAATATAGATTACAAAATATTGTTCGCTCCTATCCATGAATTGTGTGTAGAATCAAACCCCAACCATTTGACGAAAACTTTATTTCCCTTTCGTTGTAGAACCTTCTCCACTAAGTATACATCGCGATTTTTTACTTTTTGTAGCTCATATTCGTAGAACCCGCCAACCAACGGTTGTTTTTGCATATCTTGCAAGAGGTACGTTACAGGGTTTGTTCGTTGAATTTTAATAATTGTGAAAATTTCAGATGTCCAATTCGGCGTATAACCCTTTGCGAATAAGGTTTTGTATCTACTAACTCGCACGTGATCGCCAACCTTGTACTTGGCCGGAGCTGCAATCTTTATGTTAGAATATACGGACGATAAGAGTTTGTCTGCATGTTCCGGTGTTACGTCGACGGGGCGCATTCTAATCGTACGATGCCTTCTATTATTATAATCTGAGACCAGTCTCGGTAAGACGGTTGTCCACGCGTAGTTTCCATTAAGCGTGAACTTTTTCCACATTTCGTTTTTCAACGTCCTATTCCAACGTTCTATTATGGATGCTTTCATTACACTGTGCGTAGAGTAATGATTTATATCGTATTCTTTCATAAGATTTTGGAATTCTGTATTATAAAATTCCTTTCCCTTATCCGTTTGAAGATTTTTCGGTTTTCTTCCATCATTCAAAACGTTTAAAAATGCATCCGTAACGTTTTTTCCATTTTTCGTTTTCACTGCTACGGCCCAAGCGTATTTAGATAAGACATCGATGACGGTGAGTATGTAATTGTGGCCATTGTTGATTCGTGCATACTGTCGCATCTCTACAAGATCCGCTTGCCAGAGATCATCGTAACCCCGTACAATGACTCGTCTACGTCTAAAGTTACGTCTCGCTGGCGCATGCAACTCGTTGACCAGCTGTATCTTCTCGTCCGTGATATGATTGCTCTTCACCTTCTTCATGTTTGTACACTAACATCATGCTTTACGAACGTGTCAATTTATAATCAACCCGGCTTCTCGAAGTTCTTCGATAATAGAAACGATCTCGTTGTCATGCCCCGTATGTCCTGCGGATTTCGAGGATACGAGAAGACGTAATCTATCGACGAGCTCGTTTGGGTCATTCCAGTGCACGTAGTCCACCGCGTTATCGTTAGCCACCATATCGAACGGTATCAGATTGCCTCCACGCCGCTCGCTCTTAAGCAATTTTGCAATGATATATTTATACTTGTAACCCTTGTTACTTTTCACAAGCCCCGACGAGATATGGCTGCGTCTATGAGCGTTCGACGACTTTAATATTTCCGCGTATTTGTGTAAATCAGCATCGTTGAACAAGGTGTCATCAGGCATTCTCATAAATAGTAATTCGTACAAACCAGTTGTTCCTCTGTACCTCACTCCATTAATAATCACATCGTCGTTTTTGTTTACGTCGAAAACTGAACTTCCAAGCATTAATTTGTTGCGTTGTACGTATACTCCATACACGTCATCTATCTTCTTCTCACGATCGGTAAAGAGTAATTGAATGTATTTAGCCGCCAACGGCCCCAAATTTTCCGTGAAATGGCTACGTATGTTTTCGCTAGGCTTGTCCAAAATTCGCTGCATAGAAACATTAAGATTCTCGTCGCTGTCGCCGTACGTATCAACGGCATGTATCGATTCTTCACGATGAAAATCGGGGCGATCTTTCGTCACATCCACCGACCGTTCACTCGAAGATGTGCCAGGTTCGGAATAAATGCGTGCTCTTGCAGTTTGTGTGCTTTGAGGGTTAAGAAAAGGAGTTGACGTCAATTTTTGTGGTTCTTTAATATTCAAAGTTGGGAATGTCGACTCGGATTTTATATCGATCGTGTCTGAATGTGGCAATTCCGCGGACATATTCTCGATAATTCGTTCCAGCGGTTCTACCACAGGTCTCAATCGTTTTTCGATGACTCTCTCTTCGTCGATGCTCTCCGATTTGAGAGCTCTGCGTTTTTTGCGTATAGCATCGCTTGTTTTAGCTATAGCATTCGCAACTTTACTCGATTCTTTATTATTACTATTATCCATTGCAAAGAGAAGACGTCTACTCGCTAAGCGTTCTATCGAAGGACTAAATGTTTCAGAAAACGGCAAATTCGTTAAATCCTTTTCTGTAACGACCACGTTCCATCGAGCTATCCTTGTCGATTATTACGAAACCATACTTCTGTTCCCAACACTGTGTGCACAATTTACAAAAATTTTCGTACGACATATCTGTATTTACATGATCATTATAAATGTGGCGTAGATTCGTACCATCTTGTTTGAACACGATCAAAAGGTTGGCATTGTCGCGAATTAGGAGTTTCGGTATTCTCGCGTAAGTCTGACAGAGATAAAAACAGTCCACGCGCGAGTCCCTGCCCATAGCGAAATATTCTCTTATCACGTCTTGCTTGTCGCATGCAACGTCATCGAATATAAACACCGAATCGGGCAGCGCCTCGTTCGGTGGCACGACTTCGGTATTATTTGAAAATGAAAAGTATCCGATTTCAGGAACGTTTGTCAAAATTTGTTCAAGATATTTGTACTTTGGTTGTTGCAATGATTTTGAGTATACATATACGTTATTGAATCTTACACCGTTCGGGCTCTCGATCAGACTGATTACGACGTTCGTTTTACCGCAGTTCGATGGACCGCAAATTATACCACGTATCGTATTCGGCAAGAGGGGTCCGTGTCGTTGCCGACGATCGTCCATGCGTGTTGTCCTCTCGTCTACATCGAGAATAATGATAGACAGGGGCTGCTTTGCGAAACGCATATCGTCTATATAATAACCATATATTTAATGATTCAGCCTCTTTATAGGTTGTGGAAAAGCTGCTTGCCCGCGTCGTGAACGCGCTTTAGCCGCGGCCATAGACGAGCTTTAATCGCGA